TCTGGATGTATTCAAATCAGACGACAACTCGCAAAAGCCAGTCTTCGGGACAGCACTGGAAGAGCACTTACGGGTGACTAAACGCGAGATCTCTATTGTGATCGAGACGTGTGTCGGATGTTTACTCAACAATCTGTCCGAAGAGGGATTGTTTCGCATTCCCGGCAGTACTTCCAAAGTGCGGAAACTGAAGAACGCGTTCGACGCCGGGATCGTCGACTTCGAGGAATACGTTCGCGACACGCATACAGTGGCCGGTGCTCTCAAGTCATACCTCCGCGAACTGCCCGAACCATTGTTCACATATAGTCTATACCACGAGTGGATCACTGCGGCCAAGTATGTGACCAATCGGTTGATTGATTTGAATGTCTATAAAGAAATGTCTGTAACGATAGGATCAGTGACACCGACGCCCGACTGCAGGCCCTGTGGAAAGTGTGCAATAAACTGCCGAAAGCCAATCACGACAACTTGCGATATATGATTAAATTCTTGTCCAAAATATCCAATAATAGCGATTCAAATAAGATGTCGTCGCAGAACCTGGCGATCGCCATCTCTCCCAGCCTTATATGGCCTCAACAGGACAGCCAACCATTTGAGTCAGTCTTAGCCATAACTGCCTGTTTATATGCCATTTATTGGTTTTATTAATTTGTTTGTATTTTCAGTCTTAATATGACGGCCGCCTCTAATCATAGTCTAATTCTGGACACAATTATACAATATTGTGACTGGTTTTTCCCCGCAGGTATGCGACCATCAATTGTCAATTTAATGAAAAGCTGTTTATTAATTGATGCATTCATTCCTCCATTAGAAGTCAATTTTGTAGCCTTTCCAGTGAGTGTCGAGAGGGTCGCCAACGGAGACCATACTTATATCGGCGACCACTACACCACCAAATCCCACCATTCGAGCACTCGATCCGCTAAAAAGCCAGCGCCGGCCCCACCCGTCGCCCTTCAGGGCGTCCGTCCACTCGACAGAGTGGCGCCCATTAACGGCCTGAAGACTCACTCCAGAAATAATTCCGATTCGTTAGAAATGGTTCGCGAAAGGGATAGGGATTTGATGACAACATCGGGTGTCGACTCTAACGACGAGACAAATTCGGTCGATTCTGACCACAACTCGTCTGTGATTTATTCGACCGCATCTCTGGACAGACCCGCGAAGAGAGCGCTTGATTTGTCGACGCATTCATCGTCAGAGCGGCACCCAATGGTCGATAGGAAGGTCTCGACATCTAATTATCAGACGCGAAACAAAGTGATAGAAAAGCCTAACGTTCCGCCACCGTCTGTGCCCACGCGGTCCTCTCTGGAGCGGCCCCTATCGGTCCACGAGAGGCCGTCTGTGCCTCCGCCGGAGCGACCGCAGCGTTCATGTGATAACAAAGTGAAACAAAGATCTCTCGAGAATTTGAATAATAGCGACTCTGAGCAGCAAAAGACTTCGACAACTGATCCAATGGCCACCAAAGTTGGCGATGAAAACG